GATCTGCACGCATATTATGAAAATACGTTACAACGTCCTAGGCCCCTGGGTGGGGCCCGACTAGTAACCAAGGCCAAATCCAGCGAAATAACTGGCCGCTGTGATACAATTGTATAATAATAATAATGGAATACAAATAAACAAACAAACAAGTCTCTAAGAACCCCAGAATTTCATCACATAAATCTACTTTGTGGATTTTTTTGTAATCTGCTGCACTCATGAACTTTGACATCCTCATGGGGAGAACTCTCTGAGATAGCTATCTGGGAGAGATGTGCCAGGAAGAAACCTTTGTTCTCCAGAAAGAACATCAGGGCAAAATTAAATTTTGCTCCCTGTCACCAAGGCAAAAAAATCAGGACTTCTGGATCAAAATGTTTTGCACAAGTGAGGCAACGATAAGTTATTTGGCCACAGTGACAGAAGACATTTAGTGAAAATTAAAGAAAGCATTTCACTAGAAGAACTTGATACCAAACCTGATACAGGTAGTCATCAACTTACAACGGTTTGTTTAGTGAACCACGTAGTCAAAATTCAGACACTTAGCAACTGACTCAAATTTATGATGTCTGCAGTGTCCCAGGGTCACATGATCACATTTTGTGACCTTTTGAAGAACAAAGACAATGGTGAAGCCAGATTCACTTAGCTTAACCACTGAAGTGATTCACTTAACTGTGGCAAGAAAGGCTTTAAAATGGGGCAAAACTCACTTAGCAATAGAAATGTTGGGCTCAATTGTGGTTGTAAGTCAAGAACTACCTGCATTGTAAAGAAAGCCTGGTTTGCGGCTGCTTTTCTGCATCATCACAGCACCCATTGTAAATCATTTACTGCACCAGAGGGGGCTTCAGGATGATATACAGGTACAGTATAGGTGGTACCTTCCTCAATAGTAGTAACTGTGAGACGGATCTTGGAGTCCTAGTGGACAACCATTTAAATATGAGCCAGCATTGTGCAGCAGCTGCCAAAAAAGCCAACACAGTTCTAGGCTGCATGTAGTAGTAGTAGTAGTAG